CATCGCCAGATAATAAGTGGAGACCACCGCGCGTAGAGCGTGGGTGATGGGCCGACCGATTATGGCGTTGTACGGGGAGGGAGTTACGACCACCAAAAAGTTGTGGTTGAGCCTTACTATGCTGGGCCAAGTTCCGACCTCCACAGGTACTGTGATTCTCCCCAGGGGCCTGACTTCCTCTCTGCTGAAGCCTACCAAGGGAGTACTTGCGAGCTTGAGATCATTCTCTTGGAGCTGAAGCTTGTCGAATGCTGCCTTGAAAAGAATGTTTGCCGAGCTGCCGGAGTCGACGAGGACACGTTTGACTTTGAAGTCATTAATCCTTATCTTCACGACGAGCGCATCATCGTGGGGGTAGTGGACCCCACGCACGTCATCCTTAGTGAAGAAGATTGGGTCTTCTGCCCTTGGCCGCTTCGGGGGGTTCTGTTCTTCCCTTTCGACCTCTCGAGCTGAAGTCAGACCTGCAGCCGAGGTGCAACCTGCGATGATCGACCCTCCAACGATCACGTGTATGTGCCCCGAACTGGTCTCTCTTCGGGAGGCTGCCTCTGCAGCTGCTCAGCTTGCCCGTTGCTGGATTTGGCAGCATCTTTACCTTGCTCCCCCTGGCGACCTACTTTATCATTACTATTTTGTACAAAATTTCTTAAGTATCCGTGACGGATGAGCTCTTATATCTCAACGCGGAGGTTCTTACAATTTTCGGTACTGTGATCGTGATCTTTATGAAAACTACAATACAAATTCTTATTCCTTGCATTGGGGTCCCCTTTCAGCCGGGGTGGCCACTTTACATATGGGGGGCGTCTTTGATCGCTATGAGGATCTCGGCCCGCTTCGCATTCAGGGGTGTGTTGTCTGTCCTTTCTGCTGGCGGAGCTCGGAAAGGCTGACCTGGCCTTGCCCCCCGAGGTGGGTCTTTTTTCTTACTGTCCCCGTGGGTTGAGGACTCGACTTCTCTTTTCCTTTTCTCAGGCATACTATCATTCTTTTGGTTGATCTCTTCCTCCGTCCCTATGAACTGGTCCGCGAGCTTGAGGAACTCGGTTACAGTCTTCGGACGATTGACAACCACGTGCCACTTGAACTCATTGTGCATGATGCCTCTCTTGGCTACTGTAAGCCGCACTGTGGGGTCCAGGTCGGGTATTTGTAAACAAGCGTCATTGAATCGCTTAATGTAACTCTGAATAGACTCCCCTTCCATCTGGACTATGCCAAGGAGGCTTTCTTGGGTTCTCAGGCAACGCTTGCTGGTGACTAAATGGGAGGTGAAAACTTGCACGAACTGCACCCAACTCTTTATTGACCCGGGCGCAAGGTTTCTGTACTAAGTGCGAGCCACTCCTTTGAAGGTTGTTGAGAAGGCTATGCACATGCAGGATTCGCTCACCCTGGCCAAATGCATTTGCGACTGGAAGGCGTCGACATGGTCATTTGGGTCGAACAACCCGTTGTACTTGTCCAAGGGAGGGACCTTGATGTCCTTAGGCATAGGGACGACAAGAAGTTCTGGAGATAGGGGGACGGAACTGAGAGGAGCATAGTGGCTTTTACTTCGTATGAGCTCACCTCTTCCTTGCCCTTGAGCTCGGGCAGGTTATGAGTGACAGTTCGGCGAGCGGCGGTGTCTCCACTGCTTCGTTGGCTCGACGTTGGTGCTGCTTGCTTATGTGTTGCCGAGCTCGATGGGCCCAGGGTGGGGCCCGGATTGCTGCTGATGGCTGTGAACTGAAGGGCCTTATCTATAGTCCATGGCCAGGACCTCGAACTGGTTCTCGGCGAGCAGAAGCTCGAACTGTGAAGGCCGAGGTGATGCGGGTCTGATTGGCTGAGAGGCTCCTAACCTGACTACAGGCTGCGAGGTGGGGGGAGTAACTTGTCTTTCCTTTCTGCCGTGGGATGAGACTTGGCTTCCGAGAGGGTTCTGGGAGGTCTCTCCCTAGTGAGAAGGATGCTCGTTCTGGCAGCGGGGCTTGGCTTGCTATGCGACCGGATGCCGAGGAGGAAGCGACTGCTAGTTCTGAGGCAGCGGTGGAAACTGCTGCTGGTACTAGTGCTGATAAACTTGGTTCAACACTTGTTGCTGGTATAGCTGGAACTGTTGGATCTGTTGCATTTGATCTTGCATTGCTCACATGCATTGCATCAGGTCTTTAAGCTGGTTTTGGCCGGTCATCGGAGGAACAATGGAGGGTTCGGTGAAGGTTGTTCCAACCATGGGAGGGAGCGGAGCGTTCACGGGTGCCATTGTCTGAGGCACATTCAGGATGGGAACTCCATCCGCAGAGAGGGGGACGGTGAATTGTCCAATACATACCGCTGGGACCTAGAGTTGCTCTCCGGTGGTGTTCACTTCTGCACTGCGTCTGGCGTTGCTGGAGGAAGCCGTGGAAACTGAAGTTTGCAAAGTTTGGTGGAAGGCTTTTTGAAGTGATTCTCACAGACGGTGCCAAATGATGTAGTGCGACTTGGTCACTCCTAGCTGGTAGAGCCTGTGCTCCTAGCTGGCGATGGACAAGACACCTGAGAAGAAGAAGAAGGTGAAGGATTCCCGGGGGGCTCGCCCGGCGGGAACACTCCGATGCTTTGGTTAGAATTGAGAGCGAAGGCTGGGAGCAGAGAAGTAGAGTTGTAGAGAAAATAAGCTAAGAGTGAAGGTGTGCGATTACCTCTCTCTCTTGGGGGTCGGGTCCCTTATATGCTAGTGTCCTGACAAATCGGGTACAACCGCCGCTGATTCTCTGCCGCAGCCGTTATTTTCCAGAGCTGAGGTGGCGGGTGCATGTAACCGTCACAGAGTACATCCCTTTAGGGTTGGCAGGCACGACACCACCTGGCGAGAGGCGTGGGTGTAGTTTGCAGATTTGGCGGGTACGGTTGTCAGGCAAAAAATCCTTCTGTGACACGCTAAGTCGTTATCGTGCCGAGCTACCTTGTACCGAGCTGCTTTATGCCGAGCTATCTCACCCCGAGCTACTTTATGCCGAGCTGCTAGCGTCGTGTCAAGGTGCCTTTCCTCGAGGTGGGACTTTCGCGGTGACTTACTTGAACTCGGGGCCTTAGGGAACGAGCTTAACCCGACGTGCCTGCAGCTTAGGGCGTTCCACTCGGGAAAATCTTAGTTCGGAGTGCTTCTTACTGGGAACAATTGGAGCTCGGGGCATCAGAGAGTCATCTTGTAGCGAGCTGCCACATTGGACCTTAGCAGTTTGATCACACTGAGTTATCATTTGTGCTGAGTCATGTCCACATGTCCCCCTATCATAAGGTCGAGCCGAATCACCCTCCATCAGATGTTTTTTTGGAAATTACTAACATGTTTCAAGTTTTTCTAAAATTCTTGGGAAAATTTGGTTATGAAAAAGAGTTATACCTAGATGGGAATTAAAACTTAATTACCCTTTAACATTACTAGCTTAAGCATTGACTTGTGAAGAATCATAGTTGTACACAACTCTCTTTGTACAGTACCTTGGTGTAGTACCTTGGTGTACTGAGGGTCAACTGAATTGCTTTTATCAGCTTAATACAGTACTCTATTAGTTGTATAGAAAGGGTACTCCAAAACTTAAAGAAAAATTAGCCCACAGATTGGCCATATTTTCACTATATTTTCTGTTGGGTTAACTACATCTTTTATCAGCTTAATACAGTACTCTATTTTCTGTTGGGTTACTCATTTATAGTTTATTGAACCTTCAAATAGGCCATATTTTTTAATCTTTATTGGCCTAATTGCACTTCCCTCTCTCTATTTTCAATCTTGAATATATTAAGCTATGCTCAATGAATTGCTATATAACTATTTCTATTTTGATTTCACATTGAGAAAAAAAGCAAATGTTATATAGCTGGAAATATAAGAACAAGGAGAATATATAACACAATGCCAATTAAATTTTTTACCCAACTATATTAATGAATTAAAACAATTAATGGCTGTGTGGTAAAATTGATATCCAATAAGCTAAATAAAATAAGCTGAAATATTTTCTTGAGGCATACGTTCATAATTTCTTTCTTCTTCTCATTTTAAATGGTTTTGGGTCTTTTGTTTCACATCAATCAAGTTTGACATGAATTGTTCTAGTTTATGGCGAAAATAGTTTTCCAATGTTTGGAAGGAAGATCATTAATGTTTTTGGCTACAGAAACATAAAAAAGCTAAGAGTTAGCAACCTTTAGGCTATGTTTGGTTTGAAAGAAAAGGTAGGGAAAGGAAGGGAAAGGTAGGGAATCTTTCCCTACCTTTTCCTACTTTTTCCTTCAAACCAAACACAGCATTAAATCCTAGGGAGACACAGAAGCCTTAACCTAAGACAAATTTGAACTGTTGGTGGCCTGTCTAAAGACTACTCTCAACCATTCATTAATTGGGTTACCACTTCTGTTTTTTAGGTATTGTTTTAATTTTTTTACAATATAATGATGACATCACAGGTTGAATTTGGCCACGGGCAGACCAATTTACATGGCTGAGACTCCCTCCACGTATCATGCAACAAGGAAATTTGGAAAAAGTCCCAAACCAATTATCAAACACTATGCCTCAGAGAAAGAAACTTTGCTCTCAAGTTAGCTCTTGTTTTGTTCAAGTGTGCAAGTGATCAGTGATGCACAACTGGACCCATTCAAGCAGGAAACATGAACATGGCGATCTCCAGAACTTATTTGGAGCTCCACCTTCACATGGATTTCACGATTTGGTCAATAGTGGCCACCATTTAATTGAAAAACTATGAAGCCCACTACTGAATATGATAAGGGTTGCCTTCCAACATATTCACAAACATGCATTGTCGGCAAATCTCAATTATCAAGGATATCTCCACCTAGACGCACTTGGGTTGGTGCATTAATTAATCCAATTTTGAATCCTACCTTCTTTATCACTCATGCACCACTATAAATAGATAGCTGAATCTCTCTCTGCTCATCTCCACAAGACATCTTAATCTCCATTTTTCACAAGGGTTTGAGTTCAGACATAAGAAATGGCTTACTTGAAGCCTCTAGCACTCCTTGGCTTACTTGTTGCCACATTTGCTTTTATGGCTGAGAGCCGAGTTGAAAGGAGCGACTTGGGTCTGGACTCCGGCGGTGGTTTGGGGCTTGGGACAGGTGCAGGTTTGGGCCTTGCGTCTGGTTCTGGACCTGGGTTGGGAGGAGTTTCTGTTTCTGGTTCTGGATCCGGCTCTGGCTCTGGCCTTGGCCTTGGGTCATATTCTGCTTCCCGGTCTGCTTCTGCCTCCGGCAGCGACCAGGGATATGGCATAGGCTCCGCTTCAGGGTATGGACATGGTGATTCTTCTGGCTCAGGCTCTGGTTCTGAACATGGAAATGGCAATTAATAAGGTGGGTGTAATAATAGGAGTTACGTTCTATTTCCACCATTTGTTGTAAATAAATAATTAGGCATTGAAGAAGCCTATAGCCATGTATTTGCAGAATTCCTTATAAGTAAATTCCTCCACTTGCAGAGTTTTGATCTCTTTTTCTTCTTCTTCTTCTTTTAATCTTTAGTCGTTAATCTCTAGAGCTGCATCATCATTTACTTTGTTATATGCAGCCTATGCACTTAAAAAAAACTGCTGGTTTCTAAGAGGCCTGACCGAGACTACGTATTTGAAACATACTGACAATTATAGTGAAAGAGAGAATTCATCCTTTGACATCTTAATGATTGAAGAGCAGCACAACCAACAGAGAATTCATCCTTTTTCATCTTAATGATTCAAAAAAATGACATAAATTTTGAGTACAAGGCAGATAGATGCTTGTATAGTTATTGATTTTCTTCAATATTTTTGCGCATTGGGTCCTGTTTTGTTTGCAATACAATTATGAACCGGACATAAATTTTGAACCCGATTCAGTTTTATAGTCGCTCCTCCCTTCAAGATTCTTAACTTCACCTTTTGCTACAACTTTCTTTTATTTAGGCTGCGTTTGGTAGAGGTGTAAAATCTAATCGGAATAAACTTTGCACCCCGTTCGATTTTACAAGCATTTGATAAACATGTAGTTTTACACCGAAAATCGGTGTAAAATTACATCGATAATCGATGTAATAAATATATCGAAATTTTCGATGTATTTATTACATCGCTCGCTCGGTCTCTCTCTTCCCCTTCTCTCCTTCTTTTTCCCATGCTCGCTCGCTCGCTCGGGTCTCTCTCTTCTCCTTCTCTCTTCTTCTTCTTCTTCTTCTTCTCCTTCTCACTCGCTCTCTCTCTCTCTCTCTCTCTCTTCTCCTTCTCTCTTCCTCCGACGAGAACAGAGAGGCGGCGACAGCAGTGGTGCTCACCGCCGCTCCTGCTCCGGCATCACTCTGCCGGCAAGTATTGCACTCCCTTTGCACCCACTGGGAGCTTATCGTGTCCTTGGCCGGAGAAATCCATCGGAAACTTTGGCTTGCCATCGTATCGAAAGATGCTGCAATGTCTCTCGAAAAACCTGGTAAAATGCTCTTCATATTCTCGTCGAAAAGACCCAACAGGTAGATGTCCATTCGCCCGGGTCTCAATGGGGTGCCCTTGTCGCTTGCCATCTTCTTAAACAGGCCGTCGTAGAACCTCTTTGCGTTGTGCACATTGGCATTCTTGTGTCCGTCGGTAGGCCACCCAATCTCGCCGATGATGATCTTCAGGTTGGGAACGCCGGCCTTCTTCAACGACCAGACAATTGTGTCGTGGTTGGCATCAAGACATTGGTGTACTTGATTCCATTGTCGACGATTGGACTGCTGTCGCTATCAAAGAAAGCAAACTCCATGGGAAAGTTGTCGTTCTGGTAGAGGCTAAGGAATGGATAGATGTTGACGACAAAGGGCGCATTGTTGGCATTGTTGGCCGAGACACCATGGGTCTAGCTCGTCTGCTCCGGTGGTGGCACAAGAGGGACCAGTTTTCACCGCCGCTCGCGGTGCTCTGTTTCTTGACCGACCGGCAACGACTGCAATCACTCCGTTGCAGTGGACTTTTACACTGCAGCTATACACTCACATTTACACTGTTCTTCCAAACGTACATAGGTGTAAAAACAACACAGTACCGGTTCAACTTTTGTATTTATCCATCTGACCGTTTTTTATTTACATTAGCGTATTTTTGTATTTACACCTCAAACAAACGAAGCCTTGGTATCAAAATTTTTAATAGATGATAAGATTGATTACGAGGCTTCTCCACCTGCAAGCGAGCCAGCGACGCATTTGGAATGTATTCAAAAGGAAACTAAATCATATTTAAAGAGCTAACGATCCAGGGAGGGAGTCGTGAAAACGGTATTAATAAAGAAAGTGTTGCCTTGAACTTCTAATTTCAATGTTGGAGAGGATTTTTTTTCTCTGATTTATGTTGGGGAGAGAATATTATTCCAGAGCCTTGTACTCCTTCCAAACTTAGCCAGAATAATATTATCTGAATCCGCGAATCCCTTTTCCCGTGTGAGAGGTAGACCCTTTTTAGTATATTTTTTTAGGGAAAACTCTCGATAGTATCTTGTACTTTAGGTCAAGTGTCAATTGAATATTCGAATTTTAAAACACGAAAATATAGTATTTGAATTTTTATTTTGCGATAATCTAGCAACCGTTAAGTGACATGTAAAGAGACAAAAATGCCCTTGAGAAAYCAATGAAAAGGACACTGTTCATCATCTTCTTTCTCACGAAAATAAAATAGAGCCCAAAAGCCGTGTCCCTTTCATCTTCTTTTGTTCACCTGACCTCTTTTTACTCTTCTTTCTATCCCCTGACGGTCTCTCCCTCCTAGCTTTGAAGTCTGCCTTTGACCAGACGTCAGATGTCTCAGCATTCTCCAATTGGAACGAAAACGACACCGATCCATGCATGTGGAAGGGTGCATCTGGTAAGGTGAGTTGTCGATGATAGTAAGCTTTGATCTATATATATCTCGATCATCTCATAACTAAGCTTGTCGCCGTATAAAACCCCCACCGGAGAATGAACTAGAGGAAGATTGAAAAATGGGTCGGTTATCTCCCTTGGTGGCAAAGATCATCGTCGTGAAAATCCCTCCGAACCAGGGCAATGTCAAAATAATCTGCTATTCTTGCGTTTGGATTTCCGGATTTGGTCTTGAGAGCTTGTTCTAGGTAAGCTAGGGCTTTTCCTGAGAGGATCCCTCTCATTCCTCCCCCATCAATGCTATGAGTGCAGACCTTACCTCTCTGATTCTTGATCGCCCCCACGCCGTTATCGGTGGTTGCCAGAGATGTAATTTTGGATTTTGTTTCTATGGCTAAAGCGATCTATTTGGGAATCCAGAGTTTTTGATCGTCGTAGCGGAAGAGAAAATTACTTTCTAGAATAGAGAAGATCTCATAACTAAGCTTGTCGGTGTCGATGCTCCGTTCTTGCATTTCCGATGGATTACAAGACATTTTTGTAAAATAGAAGCACGAAAACAATTCTAAAGGAGGATTATTAATTGCATACCTTGATTTAATCTTTTTCTTTTTCTATTTCTTTTGCTACAATCTTTGATCTTCCAATAGGAAGTAACTACTTTGCATGCTATCAGTGCCTGAGACTATTTCAAACTTATCTCCTTGTTGATATGGTGTTAATACCTACCAAACGGGTTCAGATCTGCCGTTGCTCTGTTTCTCTGTGAAGAAGATGAACAGTGTTAAGCACCCCAATATTGTAAGGTTAAGGGCTTATTACTGGGCTGCTGATGAAATGCTTCTTCGGTGGCGATGGTTGGAGCCATTGGTGCAAGTATTCTTCGGTGCAGCAAATAACATCTGGCTGGTGGTGGATGGAGGCTTTACCTCCATCAAAGAGATTTTGGTTTCCTGATCTTCAATTTCTTGAGAAAAAAGATGGTGAAGATTGTGTTTGGGCTATCTTTCATTTTTTTGAGAAAGAAAATGATGACCAGTGTTCCACCGTAGTTTTGACATTTTCAAAAGTCTTAAATCACACATGAGGCCACGTGATTGTTGCAAAATGAAAGTTAGGGATATTAAATTGTCGCATTTTAATGTCCGGGTATTAGATTGTCCCATTTTAAAGTTTGAATGCTAAATTAACACTGGACCTAAAGTATAGGATACCTATCAGGAATTTTCCCTATTTCTTAAGACCTTAAGGCTCAGTTTAGAAGAGTACAAATATGCATATGCAGAGTGCAAAACATCATATTTTGTATCATTTTGCCTGAGCCTTAGGCAATTTCCTTCCAATAAAAAAATTGAAATCTGGGAAATGGGGTGTTGGAATTGGGAGTCAGGAAAATGGTAAATGCAAAATAACAACATATTAACTTGAATGTGGGCACAATTTGTAACCCTAATTCAAGTTGAAAATTTTCAAATCGGATAACCCAATTTGTAACCTTAATAGTGGCGATTGGCTTTTTTTTAGTCATTTAGCAAATCGGTCTGCAAAAATGTATAATAGGCTAATAGCTATTCCTTTTGAGGGTCAGTGGCTTGTATCTTTAGCTTCAAAGACTTCGATTCATTCTCTTCTTTTCCATCAATAAATCTTCTAAGTTCTCACGTTCTCACCTTGTATGCAACTATGCAACTTCTTATAAAATCGTCCATCCCCAAAGGCTGTCTCTCTCCACATGACATGTTTGTTGGAGAAAATTTTGTTTGTCCATCAGGCTGTCCACATATTCTAAAAATACCTTCAAACACGACCACACGACCAATCTGCCCAGGCTCAATTAATCTGCTCGAGCCTGGCCTGAGTTATGTTGGGTTAAGCTCGGATTGTGTCTATGTAAAGTTGTGTTTGAGCTGATCAGGTTGTATCAGGGTCAAGCCAATCTGACCCAACCGGCCCATGTTGCACTCCTAGTGTGGATTAATCAGTCACATGAAGAGAACTTATGGAAAGTGCAGGCTATTGATCGAACACAAGTTTCATAATTTTGAGTGGTTTCAGGGGGTGTTTCATCAGGTCCCTGATACCTCAAATAAGGGGTGTTTCGGATTGAGTGGTATCATGAGGTAGGCATGCCTAAAATCAACCCTCTGAAGCAATAAAGAAACTAAAAAAGAAGTTATTAAGCATCGAAACCATGGTTTTTAAAATCGACTCGGAGATTAAATCGGTCAGGGGTTCAGTTATTGGATCGAACGGTCAGTCCGTTCTGACAAAAAATGTAAAAAAAATAAAAAAATGAAAACCGGTCAAAACCATTCGAACGGTTAACCGCATGGGTTAGTGGTTTGCTGACCAAAATCAATAGTTTTTATGGAAAATCTGGTTTTTGAGAAAACCAGAACTGGTCACCTGACCGGTTCTCAGTTTTCCGATCCAATCGTCAGGTCTAGTCCGGTTTTGAAAACCATGATTGAAACACCCCATATGCCTGTTCATATGTATTAGGTGTATCAATGCTTTGAATCTTGATTAAAAGTAGATAGCAAAAATTTCCCCATGTGCAATAACAAAATCAATTACTGGAACTTGTAAGTATAAAATTGGAAGGGGAGAAGCATCTATTTAAGAAATGGAATGATTAAATTAAAGTCCTAACTGAGCCATTTAGGCTGTGTTTGGTTTCATAATGTTTGTTAAGAATTTTTCCTAGGGAAAATCTATGATGCTGGAAATATATAGTACTGAAAGACTTTTGACCAATCAAAACTCACCTATGAATTTTGATAAATTCCACTTGATTGATTAACACATTTAGGTGATTGGCTTGATTGATTGGATACATCTTAACTGGTTATTTTAAATTTAAAGATGGTTTTAGAGGTTGGGAGAGAGATTTGATCATGTGGGTCATTAGGTTACAAGTTTCAGCGAAGACAATTCCAAATAGAGGGTTTGAATCGGATCTAGCTTTGGGTCTTAAGGAGGAGGGGTTAATGGTATTGGATTTAAATGATCCCAGTGTCATTGGACTCAGAATTTCGAGTTCTATGCATATACATAGTTGGATTTTTTTTTTTATTTCAATTGAGATATGGTTAAGGATCAAAATGGTTTCGATTGGACGAACAGAATTGGTTCCGGCTTTGGGTCTTGAAATGAAGGGGTAAATGGTATTGGATTTGAGTGCTTGATGTCATCGGATTTGAAATTTTTGGATTTACATATCTATGGTATTAAGCTTCTGACTTGATATGAGATAAAGTTCAGGATTGTAATGATCTCAAGCGGACGACATGAATTGGTTCTAGCTGTAGGTATAAAGATGGAGTAAACAGTATTGCATTTGGGTGATCTTAATATCGTCAGATTTGAAAATTTGGGCTCCATGTACCTATGGTATTAGATTTTTGAATTGATGTGAGTTGAATATTAGGATCAAAATGATCCTAATTGGACGATTGGAATCAGTTTCAACTTTAAGTTTTAAGATAAAAGGGTAAATGGTGTTGGATTTGAATGATCTTTGTGTTGTTAAATTTGAAATTTTGGACTCTATATACCTATAATATCAGATCCTAGAGGTCTAAACTTAAAGCTTGAAATGTTGAAAAAAAAACTAAAGGGCATAGAAATAGTGTTTGTAAAATGAACAACAATACAATACATAAAATGAATATCTAAACAAAAAATACAATACATTAAATAAGCATACAAAATTATTATTTTTTGTCACACTAACCATCTTAATTATTAAACAATATTCTTCTACATAGATAATTATTGCTCACTATCCAATAGTTGCTCCAATGTAATGTCAAATGGCTTTTGGCAAGGTTTCCCACGTTTGGACAACTCTTGAGACACATACTGCATGGTTGGCCGGGATTGTTGATCAACATGTAAGCATGAAAATGCTAATCTTATAATAAAGATTATGTCATCAAACTCTTGGTTTGTAGGGGTACAGAGACGTTGATCCAATATATCCCTTACAAATGTCATTTGGCAAAATGATGGCAATGAAGAAGATGAAGATGATGATAGAGAAGATATGATTTCACGTGGATGCCTTCCAGTTATCACTTCCATTATTACTACTCCAAAGCTATAGACATCACACTTTTCATTTACCTTCACTGTATAAGCAAGTTCTGCAAAAGAGAAATTTAGAAGTACTCAATTTTTATAATGAGGTTATTGCCCAAAAAAATTCTACAATGCCATTAAGAATTATATATATCTATGTATAAGAATTTTATTATTTAAGAATCAAAAGAAATAATAATGAATTCATTACTACTGTAAATAATGCGATATAGATTAGCGTAGTTTTTATAGAGAAATATTGTAATATGTTGGGTTGTGTTTGATTAGAATGGAATTGAAATGCAAATATGTTCAATGTAAATGCAAGTATCTATGGTTCATGAAAAATGTAAAATTGATATAGTTTTGGTTAATTATGTAAATGAAAACATAGATTCCCAGACTATAATCTACCTTTTACATTGAGCAACTTTGAGTGCAAAGTTTGTATCCATGTTTTAAAAGCAAGCATCGTTTCCATTTTGAATGCAATTGTGTCAGACAAATTTGCTGCCGTTATCAATACAAAAACATATTCTTACTAAATGATTACAAAATTGATCCAGTGTGCAAATTCACTTGGGTTTAACAAACCACCAGCCTTATGACCAAGGAGGAGAAACYCTGACTTTTAAAACTGACACGGTGAACCATGGGAGAAACACATGGACCAAATTAAAGAAGAACATCGATGATTTAGTAGTGGATGGTTAGTTGCAACTCTCCAATTTGGAAGAGGATATAGTTAAGGGAACCTAGGTTCTTAATGGTATGACCAGTGAGCCTGATATGCACCCCACTTTGAAAAAATGAAGACACAACAAACAATTAACTAAAAAACAAATATTACAAGCTGACTTTGAGCATCCCAACCTTTTTGTGCTCTTACCGGAGTTGCCACTAGGGTGGTCAGTCCCAAATTAGTCTACCAAATATTTTGGGGTTTTAAGTTGGGGAGGCGAAGGGGGTTAGGCTGCATTTGGCATTCCTTATTTTTGCAATTAAAATAACCATATGAACACAATTTTTACTTGCAAAAAAGGTAAATGCAACATGGCACCTCTCCCCCGAAGATGGTAAACCCCCTATTTACAACAGATTTCTCTTACAAAAAATAATGACAACACAACAAAGAACTAACGAAAGAACAACTATAACAAGTTGACTGTGAGCATCCCAAATTTTACGTGTTCTTATTAGAGTCTCCACTCACCATTGTAGGGTGATGAGCCCCAAACTGGTCTACCAAAGATTTTGGGGCTCTAAGCTAGGGAAGAGAATGGTTTAGGAATCTCTCCCCTCAACATGCTAAACCTCCTATTTATGGTAGATCTCTCTTACATAAAAAAATACAAAATCGAAGAAGGGAAAAAAGACATTAAAATTGACAAAATCTAGGGGCAGTGTTAGGATCCAATTAATATTAGAACCTACTTATGAAATTGTTAAAACATTTATTATTTATTGATTAAAATAGAATAATTCTATAATTTAAAAATATATTTTATGATACTTTCACTGTAAATGTTACACTTTGTAGTTTCTCTCTCTCTCTCTTTTTAATTTGCACCTTAATTAGGTTGAGTTCAGATTGAGGCTGTATCCGACACCAAAACTAAGGCTGCAACTTGGGCCGGGATGGCCTGAACCTAACCCTAATCCAACCCAAAAAAGTTGGGTTGATGCTTGGGTTAGGGTTAGAGTTGAAATTCATGAACCTGACTTTATTTCGGGTTGGGTTAGGGTTGACCCCTTGGAAAATCCGACTCTATAGTATATGCCATATATAAATATATGTTATATATATATATATTATATTATATTATACATTGATTTTTTTAGATGTATGATAGCCCTCACTACATACAATCATGTCTTTCTTTTAAGATAATCACTTCACTTAATCCTAAATGAAAAGACTAAAACCTTAATAACATATTTTGTGTTTTTTGAATATTTTATTCTTCATCTCCTCTCTAATGTTTGGCGCCTATAAAAGATCTATCATAAGTCATAACTCATAGTAAACTATCATTTCAAACACTTAGTTTCTTGATTTTGTACTAAAAGAACCAATAAAAACATTACAAATAAATACTAATAAAATATAGGATTAATATATATACTAAAAAGTGAGTTAAGATTTGAGATTAAATAGTTTTRTGAGATTTTAAAGGATGGGAAGAAGGTTGGGTTGGGCTAGGGTTGGCCTTAACCCGACCTAACCTGGCCCGACTTGCAGCCCTAACCAAAACCCAGCCCATTGGCAGAGTGTCATTGAAAACCTCTAAAGTAATCGGTTTTGTGGACAAGTAGTCGGGTTAGGGTAATCCGTAATCCTATTCTAATTGTCAGATCAGGTAGGGTTCAGGTTGGATCAAATTCATACTTGAATGAATCTGATTAGCTACCCTTAGGCTATGTTTGGTTTGAAGGAAAAGGTGAGGAAAAGAAAGGAAAGGTAGGGAAACTAATACAAGGTTTGTAAAGGTTTCTCTACCTTTACTTTCCTTTCCTTACTTTTTCCTTCAAACCAAACACAACCTTAATTGTTGTGTTAGCGGCTGTTTGCTGAAACTTCCCCTGAAGTTTCTGACTATTGCTAAAACCTCCCATGAAGTTTGGCAAGCGTAATCGTCTTCCCTGAACTTTTTGATATAGTTGCAAGTAGATCCCTGTATTAGAATCCTCTCATAAAAGATGCAAAATTGTCCAAAATACCCATGCAACTACTATTGAGGTGGTTTCTACAAAAGAAAAAACAATACAAACTTTATAAACAACAAAAAAAGAATTTAAAATTCCATCTTTACCCTTGGACAAATTTGAAAAATAAATCTATTTTAGAAGGATTTGGACTAGGCATTCATATGAGGTGAAAATTTAGAAAATAAACATTGGTCAAAAGTAACTATATGAATATTTTGGATATTTTCATGTCTCTCTTTAGAGGATTTTAACAAAGGGAGTTTACTTACAACTATGTTAAAAAGTTCAAGGGAGGTTATTGCAATTACCAAACTTCAGGGGAGGCTTCAGCAACAACCAGAAACCTCAGGGGAGGTTTCAATAATTTACTCAAATCAATAAAACTATAAAAGAGGAGACCAGTCAAGCATAAGGCTGTGCTTGGTTGCAGCGCAAATCTGAACTAAATAAAAAATTTATACCCGAATCAATTTTGCATCTGTTTGTTTGAAATTATAATTTGTATTTTTATTTGATATAAAATTTGTATTTTTGGCTCAGTTTAGAAAGAGTACAAAAACAAACATATACAGTGCAAAACCTTGTATTTGCACTTACATATTTGTATTTGTACTCTTTCCAAACTGAGCCTTTGTCTTAATTTTACTCATTATCTATGAAAAATTTTCATCCCAAAAACTGATGCAAAATTTGCACCACATTCCTCCTACCTCAAAACTCTCTTATTAAAAGTGGAAACCACATCATCTTGTTTACTCCTACCTCACTTCCAAACAAATAACCCTCCTACTTCCATTCTCGAGTTTGGATCTGTTGACCACAATACATTTCTGGCCACATTTACACTGGTAACATCTCTTATATTTTACATCACCAATAATCACAATTTGTGGGTGGGTGAATGTGGCCAGCAATGTGTTCCGGTCAACAGATCTGAACACCCATTCTCTTGTATATAAGGTTTACCACACCATTTTACTTTTCACAAACAAGGTTAAAGTTAAAGCAAAACCAAACCAATAATTACACAGCCCATTTGAATCCTATGCATTTACACTGGTGCAAATGAAATTTGCATTGCAACCAAACACAGCCTAACTTTTTTTTTTTCTTCTGAAATAAAAAGGCAGTAAATATATAAGTTACCTGGGGCAATATATCCGTATGTACCAGCTAAAGAAGCCCAATTTGATGAATCAGGCTTTAGAAGTCTAGCAGTGCCAAAATCAGAGACGAAAGCCTCATACTCTGTATTCAACAAGATATTGTTGCTTGATATGTCTCGATGAACAATTGGTGGAGAACAATTATGGTGCATGTATGATAAAGCATTGGAAACACCTCTTATCACATGTATGCGCCTAGTCCAGCTCAACTCAGTTGCTTGTTCCATGTCAGCTAACATCTTAGCCAAGCTTCCTCTCTCCAAGTACTCATAAACCAGAAATGAATGTCGTGGGTGTGAACAAAAGCCATAAAGCTTCACAATGTTCCGATGGCGTATCTCTGCTAACGTCTGTATCTCATTTCTAAAGCTTTTCATGTCTGCATCTTCACCATCATCGTGAATTGTTTGGTGAAGCTTCTTCACAGCTACTACTTGACCTGTTGGCAACTGAGCTCTATAGACGCTCCCAAATCCTCCCATCCCAATGCAAAATCTCTCATTGAAATCCTCCGTTGCTTCAATGATATCTTCATACACTAATCTTCCATCATAATTCAATATAGAAAACAGATCTCCATCATGATGATGTCTCTCTCTTCGATCTATCTCTGTATTACTATCCCTTTTTTGAAAGACAGAATAAGCAATTCCCACAAATGTAAACAGGAGAAACAATGCACATAATAGAGGTACTATGATGAAGATTAAGACCTTATGATCCTTGTTGGTATTTTCCACCTTTCCCTGAGAAGAATTGCAAGGCAACAAACCCCTTACATTGCCACATAATGCTTTGTTATTTCTGAAAGCTTCCATGGGAGCATGTTGAAAGGCTTTGTTGTTGGGAAGTGGGCCTTCCAACTCATTGTATGACAGATCTATATGTGTCAAACTAATCATTTTATCAAATGATGATGGAATAGAACCAGAGAGTTTATTATGAGAGAGATTTAGCCTCTCCAGATTTTGCAGTCTTCCCACTTCTGGTGGGATCTCTCCAGTTAGATTGTTCTGACCCAGATCCAGTGAACGTTGCAGGGAAAGTAAATTACCAATTTGGGTTGGGATGCTTCCATTCAATCTATTCATACTGAGGTTCAAATATAATAGCTTGGAGCAGCTCCCTAATTCTTTAGGTATTGGCCCGCTTAATTTGTTAGCTGACAAATCAAGATTTTCCAAGTTGGACAATGCTCCAAGTTCTGGTGGCAGCCTACCCAGTAGCTTGTTATCGTTCAAGCTCAACTCAAACAAAGATTTCATCTTTCCCAGTTCCTTTGGGATCTCCCCAACTAGACGATTTGATGACAAGCGAAGTAGGCTCAGTTGAGTCAACTCCCCAAACTCAGCCGGTACTCTACCACTGATCAGATTTCCAGATAAGAGAAGACCCTTGAGACTTTGACACTCCACCCAGTTTCTGGAAAGCTCCCCATACAATTTGTTATGGCTCAAATCAATATAATCAAGACTTGGGTAGATGTCAAAATCTTCTGTTATATTCCCGGTGAGTTGGTTGTTTTCGAGCCGAAGTCTCACTAAGCTTGTGCAGTTTCTTAAACCTTTTGGAATGGGACCAGTGAAGTGATTGTTAAATGCAGAAAAGTTCTGAAGTCGTCCACCCATGCCTATATCTTGTGGCAAATAGCCAGAGAAATTGTTGTCAAAAAGAGATAGCATTTCCAAGTTTGGCTGCCTTCCCATTTCTTGGGGAATCGAACCAGAAAATTGGTTCATTTGGAGTTGTAGAACGTATAAGTTGCTTAAATTACCCAAAGATGCAGGGAGAACACTAGACAAATTGTTACCCGACAAATCGAAGAGTAAAAGAGACTGTAGTTTTCCTAGCTCAGGCGGAATGGAACCAGAGAGTTGATTATCAAAAAGACTTAGAACCCTTAATCTGCTTAAATTACCTAAAGATGCAGGGATGGAACCGACCATATTATTTGTAAATAAAGTGAACTCAACAAGAGACTCTAGCTTTCCTATTTCTTGAGGAACGGAACCAGAAAATTGATTGGTATCGAGGCGTAAACGGGTCAGATTGCTCAAGTTAGCTAATTCAGCAGGGACTGAACCAATAAGATCATTTGTATGCAAGCTCAGTCTAGTAAGTGCACTTAGATTTCCTAAATTTGGAGAGATGGAGCCAGATAATTTATTATCAAACAGGTGCAAAACGCTTAGTTTGTTCAAGTTTGCCAAATTGGTTGGGATGGGACCTGTCAAATGGTTAACAGATAAGTCTATTTCTATGAGATTTGTCAGATTTCCTATTTCAAGAGGAATGGGGCCTGAGAACTGATTTTTAAAGAGGGATAGATATATTAAGTTACTCAAATTACCTAAAGATGGAGGGATCGGACCAGTAAGATTGTTACTATACAGAGATAACTCCTGAAGAGCTCTCAAATTTCCAATTTGTGGAGGAATGATACCAGAAAATTGATTTCCCCCGAGGACTAAATTGGTGAGATTGAACAGATTATTACATAAAGATATGGGTATGGATCCACTTAGAAGATTGTCATCGAGAAACAAGACCTGGAGATGCGTTAGCAAGCCAATTTCGGATGGGATGTCCGCACCATATTGGTTGAATGACAGATCGAGGTGGGTGAGTTTTGAAAGGTTACCAATGTAGGATGGAATGGGGCCAAAGAATGAATTGCTGGAAAGATTAAGACTAACGAGATCTGGAAAATATGAGAATTTGAAATCGTGGAGCATACCTTGTAGTCCCATTCCTGGTAGATTTATATTGGTGATGCTGCCATCCTGACTGCAAGCAATTCCAACCCAATTGCATGGGATCAGTAGGGAAGAAGAATTGGTGGTCTTACTACTAGGAATTCTCCAGGAAGGAAGAAGCAACTGGGTTTGGTTTTGGAAACTGGCTTTCCATTTGAGAAGGGCGTTGGCTTGTTCAATGGTGACAGTAGTGGTGGTGGGAGATGCAAAAGCTGAAGCAGGGGAAGGAGAAACAAGTAACGAATTGAACTGTAAAACCAACAACAATGCGCAGAGGGATAGCTGTTTCTTTAATTCTAGAGGGGACGGCCAACCCATCTCTGACCGATAGTAGCTAACTAAACACTTGCTCTGAGCATAAGCTTTGTTTTAGCTTTATTCTTCTTGTCACCTAACCCATCGTTGACTGGTGGAACGATGGTGAAACTTCTATGTGAGGTGATAATAAGGGGGAAGCATCTTGAAATTAATTTCGAGAGATGTTAGTGGCTCAGAGAGGCACTCAGCATCTGTTAAAGGGAATATTCCATGATTCCATCACTTCAAACTCCTAGGGCCTTTGATACATAGGGCAAGTAGAAACAAGAGTTGAGGTTTGATACCACTTTTATGATGTCGAACCCTTATATATATATATAGATAAGCCACCATTAGTTTGTTTGTAGGAAGGAAATCAGAAATTGGTGATTGAGAAAACGGAAGAGGGAGTTAAAGTGATGTTTGACATCGATGATGATTTCCTGAAAATCACTGCCACCTTGGAGCCATGTTAGTATTAGAGGTGATGGAGGGTGATTCAGCCCGACCTCATTATAAGGGGACACGTGGACATGACTCAGCATAAGCGACAACTCAGCATGATCAGTTCGCTAAAATCCAGCGTGGCAGCTCGCTACGAGATAACTCTCCGTTGCCCTGAGTCCTGATTCTTCCAAGTAAGAAGCACTCCGAATTAAGATTTTCCCAAGAGAGAAACGTCCCGAGCTGAAGGCACTTCGGGCCAAGCTCGTTCCCTAAGGATCCAAGCTTAAGTGAGCCACCCCAAAAGCCTACCTCGGGCAGAGTCACCTCGGCATAAAGGCAGCTCGGCACAAAAGTAGCTCGGCGGAAGAGCAACTTGGCGTATCACGGAAGGATTTCTTGCCTGACAACCGTACCCGCCAAATCTGCAGACTGCATCCACGTCTCTTGCCAGGCGGCGTTGTGCCTGCCAACCCTGAAAGGCCGTACTCTGTAACGGTTACCTGCACCCACCACCTCAGCTCTAGCAAATAATGGCTGCAGCAGAGAATCAATGGCGGTTGTACCCGATTTGTCAGGACACCAGTATATAAGGGACCCGACCCCCAAGGAAAAAGGGTAATTGGCGCATCTTCACTCTTAGCTTCATTTTCTCTGCAACTCTCCTTCTCAGCTCTTAGCTCTCTCTCAGTTACTAACTTAAGTATCAGAGTATTCCCGCCGGGTGAGCTTCCCGGGATCTCCTCATMTTCTTCTTTGTAGGTGTCTCGTCCGTCGCCAGCTAAGAGCGCAGCCCCTTCCAGCTAGGAGTGACCAGATCGCACACCATCAAGAGGAATGGGCATTGAAATTTCAGTTTGGTTGGCTGACTTTGAAGATTTTCAAAAAATCAAACAATAATTGATTCTTGAAATCAGTCTTTTCTAGGGATCACCTTTTCTGGTGAAACTGTATCTTGTCTTTGCCATGTAGGACGTCGCCTCACCTAACAAAAATCAGAATCACCTAAAATTCGGGAAATCACTAAATGTGGTGATTCCTCACCTAGTCCGATTTTAGGGATTGGATTTTTGCTGACTTTCCAGAAATCGGCATAATCGGTCAACCAAACAAGGAAAAAATATCATTGATTCTTCAAATTCTGATGTAAGTTTGACACAGCTCGGTTTCTTGGAAATCAACGTTGATGCCAAACATCACCAAAATTTACCAATTTTTTAAAAAACAGTAGAAAGGACTAATTTCAAGAATCAATTATGGGTTGATTCTTAAAAAATTTACCAATTATGGACTGATTTTAAAAATTGGAAAAACACCAAAATTTTAAAATGGTAAGGAAGAATCAACGTCATGCCAAACATCACCTAAATAGTTTGCCAAAGTGTACAGAGCATTGTTATATCCACTCATGACAGGTTGCCCAACCTGTTGTGCATGGTGCATGTTTTAATTTGTCACACCAGCCCATTCAAGGGCATGCCTATAGAGGGAAGAGGATCTAGGGTTTCAATGGGTGTCTTAGTGAAGGTAGAGGGAAGCTTGATAGCTGAGGTGGAGAAATTTGTCGATGAGTCTGATACATATGATTCAATGTCCATGCTTCCCAAGATGGAAACTACACAAAATCACACATAGAGGGAATCCCTAGACTCCCAACTTGTCTCCTCTTCGGTAAAGACCCTTAGAAAACTAGGCCTAGAGACAAGTAATTATCCAGGAGTAGTTCAATAAACTTAGACAACAAGTCCAGGACCTTGTCGCCATGATGCGAGGCATTGAGCTCCCACTTGAAGCTCCCAATGTGCCTTCTCTTTAGCAAGGACCCCTTAAAACTAGGCCTAGCCACAAGTAGTCATCCAAGAGTAATTCAACAAACTTCAATGAAAAGTCTAGAGCCTCGTAGCCACGATGTAAAGCGTTACACCCCCCTTCAAATAGCCACTAGCTGGGAGTAGTAGGAGAGGAAGCTCCGACAAACCTAACCAGTCATACCAACATCCAGAAGAGTTAGTCCACTAATCAGAAAGGGCACCTTGGTTTCTAAGATGTTCCTAGAAGCCATTCAGGGGGAAACCCTTCAGGTCAATGGAATCAAACCAAGCATCAAGGAGATTCCAACTTAACTGGATGGACAAATCCAAGTTGGAAAAGGAATGATAAGTTCATTGTAATAGAAGTGAAGCGAGGCAAGAACACCCATCTTGAGATCTTTAGAGAGCCACCATTCACTGCAAACATCATGGATGAACCTCTCCCACTGAAGTTCAAAATGCCCAACCTTGACCATGACAAAATCAAGGACCCAATTATTCACTTAGAAAGCTTCAAGGCCCTTATGCTCGTGCATAGTGCATCCAAAGCATGTCCTTGACTGTGTATGTTTTTCTTGTTTTCGAAACTGAAAGCAAAAATATGTTTTTAAATTGTTAATCTCAAAAACATGTTTTCATCATGTATTTTAATATCATGTTCTATAGATTAATGATTTATATATACTACAAAATTTATTTTTTATTTTAAAATATTATTTTGATGGTTCATAAACCATGTATTATTTTCTGAAATAAAACCAACTTATTTTTCTTTTTAAAAACAAGAATAGAATTCAAAAACATGTTTTTATTTTTGTTTTTATGTGGCGATTTAAAAAACAAATGAAAACAAAAATATATATGTAGAACAGCCCTTAAATAATTTACCGAATTTGATGAAAAAGAATGACAAGGTGTCTTTTATCATAAAAGAAACCTCCTCCATCTAATCTTTCACTGTACCAGTAAAAGGATCAATTTTCTAATTTTGCAGAAAAAAAAACTTACCTAAAAAATAGTGGCTATTGGTCAGCCGAAATCACTTTTTTCTCTTCTTCTCTCTTTGTAGGTGTTTGCCTCACCCAATAATTTTCTGATTATATGTTGAAAATTTAGTTCTTTGGGTTTGAACAAACTATGACCTTAATAGCAATGTTTTAAAAACAGACCCGGAGGTCAAATTGTTTTTGTCTTTGGGTTGCATGTTACACCGGTTTGACCATCCGGGTTAAACGGGTCAGACCATGTCACATCATCATTACGTAAATTCATACATACATACATACATACATACATACATATATATGTGTGTAGGTATATATAAACATGTGTTCAATCAATAAATAATGTATAATTGTGTTCTACATGTAATATATGTATTATTTTATATTTAATTTATGTTTTTTATTTATAAAAAAATATTAAAATTTAAGATTCGAGGCTAAAAGGGTTTTCTGAAAAAAATAGCAGAGCATGGCATCTATGGTCCCTTGGAACACAAATCCTGTCATCAGGTCAACTGGGTCAATGATCCAACCTTCTGGCCCGGCGACGGTTCAACCGGTTGGGTCAAAAGTGAGTCAAAAACACTACTTAATCGTAACTATTTGATAGGATCTGAATGAAATAGTTGAACTGAACCAGTGCGATGGGCTTCAGCTTTGAGCTGCATTGACCTTAAAGCCTTGAATAAGCTATTTAGACAAAGTTTAGAAGTTCTTAAAAATAAGTGCTTATTCAATAAGTACTTAAGAAGCCCAAATTTTGGGTTTATTTTTAAGTGTTTATTTTCTTTCAGTCCTATCTTGGCCTATGACGTCATTTTGAAAATACTTATATTACCTTGTTTAAAATAAGTGATTTTTTACAAAATGATCATAAGTGCTTATTAGAATAAACACTTGTTTTTAAGAACTTATTTTTCAAATAATACTTGGATTCTTTCCATGTGTTATTGTTTGGATTATTTGGATTCTTCTTTCTTACGATAAACAAATGGTTGAGGGAAATTAGTTTTGCAAATGAGAATACATGGTTTAACATTGGCAATGCTCTAGTATTTGATATTCTCATCATTCCTACCTATACAAAAAGGAAGGAAAGAATTAGGTGAGTCACCTAGAAATCACCGCAAACTTTGTCTTATAAATTAGGGGGCATTTGATAACACTTTTTAGAGGTTCGGTGTTTGAAAAACTTGCTTTGCTAGACACCAGGCCCATTCGGTGTTGCTAGGGCTGTTCATAACAAGACCCAAACTGATCAACCCGGTCTGATCCAACCCGAATTGGTTGGTTTTTCTTTATCACCAGTCAGTTTTGGGTTACAAAAAAACATAAACTGATGGTTTGGTTCAGTTTTGGTTTTCATGTGTGAAAATCGAAACCGAACCGACCCGAATCAACTTAGATATTATATATATATATATATATATATATATATATATATATATATATTTCAGCTTTATTTCAAAAATATACATATTATATATAAAATCTCTGATATATAAAATATCAGTTTTAATCCATCAAATCATTTTTAATTTCTAGGCATCCAACCTTTACTTTCTTACACTTGAATCCTTTATCGTTCACACCGAGAGAATCATTCACAAAACCGACCCAAATCGATTCAAACCGACCAGGTCGGTTTTACTTAGTACTGGGTCAGTTTCGGTTTCATTTCTAGGTAAACTGACCAAGTTAGGTCGGTTGGAAAAACACCAGTAAATTGATCCAACCCGACCTGTGAACAGCCCTAGGTGTTGCTTCTAAAAATGGGTCTGAATTTTGTTTTCAAATGTTAAATTTTAAGCTTGTGGGCTAGCTCTTAACACGCTTAGACGCGTTTCAGAGCGAACTCAAAGTTGAAA